GTGGCTGCCACTGGACCTGGATGCTTTGCTGAGCTAATAATCTCCCTGTCTTTAGTTTATCTGACTATAAAATGAAAATGATTATGCTTACAAAAACTCAGTTAGTTAAATTATTGAAGGCGATTAGCTGAATTATACCTTAGTTTATCTGGTATTATTTTTAACAGCCTGGTAAAAGCCCAAGTTGACTTCTCCTCCTTCATACAGTGCCCTATGTCTGCTCTTCAAATAAGGGTTTTACAACAGAAGTGCATGAGGACATCTTTATTGAAAAAGGATATTAAAATTTTCAGGAACTAGTATATGAGGAGAGAGTATAAACACTTAGTTTATAATAAGCTGCATATAATTGTATATAAATGAACTGTAAGGCATATTAATTGGGTGGAAGTTATTAGAATGTGAGAAGTGCTCAACACATGTGTACTTGTTGCAGCCTCCTAGTCTATTATTGCAGAATTGTTAAAAATTAGAGCTCTGACTTATGTTAGCTAGTTTCCATTAGCTGTAATCTAAGGGGGCGCTTTCTAAAATGAGTTTCAAGAAGCACTGGGTCCATTAGATAATATAATAAAGGTGATAAGGGAAAGGCCTTCCTTGGTCAGACAGTTTGGGGAAGGTTAGGTTAAGCAGAGCTGAATCTGCTACTGTCCTGGTAGACTTTTCTGCTGCATGTTCTATGTGGGTGTGATTGCAAAACCCTTTTATTGTAAAGTATCTTTTGGGGCAAGTGTTCTGTGGAATGCTCTTTGGGAAATACTATTTTATTCCAACCTTTTCATAATCTAGATGAGAACACCAAGGATGAAAGTGGTTAGTGATTTGCTAAGTTTATATTAAGAGAGTGAACCTGAATGCAGTCCTAGGTGTTTGACACTCCCTGATGTTCTGTTTACTATACCCATCGCCCCACAGATTTCACCCAAGCAGCGTCAGACTGAGAAGTATTTTGTTGCTAGAGTCTGAAGGGAAGAAGGTTGAATACACAAAATGCTCTGGGAATCCATTTTCCAGGCTTAACACCCTTCACAGTCCATAATTCAAGTTCTGGGAAACCGCCTGAGTTCCTGAGTCCATGAGCCTTGGTCTTTTCATTCTGTGTCCATTGTGCAGTACAAAAAGATGTCAATCTTTGGAGATGAGTCTACTGGAATTCAAAATACAGGTCCAGCACTTGCTAGCTGTATGGCTTTGGGACAAGTCAGTTAGCCAGCCTCTCTGAGTCTCAGTCCTTTAACCCTAAAATGGGGTAAATAACTGGTAGAGTTTGGGTGACATGAAATATATCTGAAGCACATATCTGGTAAAGGCATTCAATAAATGGGAACTATTTTTACTATGTAACAACATCTAAAGGAAATTTAAATAATTTCTGTGTAGCTCTGATGTTGATTGCAGCCCATTGTAGGACATAGTAAGATTTTTGTTCATGCAAACTACCTTTCTTCTTTCTTAGCATCTGGCTCTTGGGTCTCTGATGACTCCTGTGAGTGTCCTGTACTGACATATGCCATGTCCTATTCTTATACATACTTGGCATTATTCATATTGGACCAGTCACTTTCTTCTATCAGGGCTAATAAACAAATTGTAGAGAAGTCCCGGCTTCTTCCACTGTAGCTGTAACAATTTCAGATTTTCTAGTAAGAACTCTTCACCAACTTGATATTTTTTGCCTGTACTAGCTATTTCTGTTCCTGTTTGCTGCTGCAGGGATCCTCGCATGTATTGAAGTTGCAGCTCTCTTTCATCCCTGCAAGCACTTATATGGGTGCACATTGGAAAATCCTTCCCTCACTATGGCAGAAAGGAATTTTACAGACTGCCATTGCTTTTGGCAGAGAGAGAATGACTTCCAAGCTGAGTGCTGCTTGAAAGAGGCTCTCCCCCATCACTTATACTGTACTCAGTGGTTACTGCTTGTGACACATTTTCAAATGGACCCCCCAGTGGCTGCAGCTGTGATTAAAAGCTGTCTGCTCCCTGCCTCACTGGGGGTTTCCTGTTTAACCATGTCATGCACATATATATGTGGGCTGCAGCTGCATCATGGCAAACGTAGTGTTTTCTAAGATGAAAAATCAAATGAGTACTTGAATCATAAACTCCTGAATTTTCCAAGCTCAAGTTATTGAGAGACACTAGTTGGGAACCTAGCCATGCATGAGGTACATAAAAGTAATTTAAAGAAGAAGAGCTAATGGTCAGTGAATGTATACCATCTGCCAGTACATGCTTTGCATACATCAACCAGACTGAACATCTTAAAGGTTTGAGTGCACTTGAACTTAGCAGCTGCATTTCAGCTTCTCTGTGTGATTTGGGATTCAGTTTGACCACTCACAAATAAAGCAAAAACCGGATATTCTTGTTTGAAGATTACCCAGCTATTCACTGACACACTAAAGACCACGTTTGGCTTATCATGAGGGTGCATGTCATTCTAAACACATCTACCATTAACACTACCTTAAAAAGTGCTCAAATGAGCAGTGTGGCCTCAGACTCTGTGTCTCGAAGGCACAAGTCCTTCCTTTAGATGAGAAAGACTGAGTATTCAACATCTTGTAAAGTAAAAAGAATGTGCTAGAATTTAAACCTGGGCTCTTTGCTTTATGTGATGAGTGTTCCTATCAAAGCCACGAGGTGAAACAGTGTTCCCTTCCCTACCTACTCTGCTCCACTAACTGAATCAGAAGAATCCAAACGCACATTCTTTCTTAGATGCAGAGGAAAGAAATTGGGGGGAAATTTGAGAATTTTGTGTCTCCTTTCCCCTCTGCCTGCTTCCCCCCAAATTTCAAGGACTCTAAATCTCAGCGACCAAACACAGTCTATGAAATGCTAATGTATCACTAGCAAATTTAGGCTGACAATACTGTGAATCGACCACATTGATTATATTTCAAATATTTACAATATGGTGAGACAAGCCTAATTTATTTTCTAAAGAGTTCAAGGTAGGTATCACCATTCCAGAGGGGGGAACAACGGAGAGATGTTTGTGGTTGCTATCTGCAATAGTCTGATGCTGACAGAGAGTAGTATTTTATTTAGTAATTAACAGTGTAAAGGGGAGAGGAGCTGTCATGTTGGTTCTTAAGCTGGGGAATGTGATGAAAGATGATATCTGCGATCTCATCCTTTCCACTTGTTTAGGATTGTCAGGATGAGAAATGTCAGCATTATGAAAGCTCGGCTCTGCTCTTGATATGATAAAACCCTTCAAAAGCCAGTCTTTCTCTCACCCTCATCCCCCTCCTTTCTCGCTCTCTCTCTGCACTTGCTTTTTTATTTATCCTGTTTTGTTAGATGGCAGAAATATAATTCTTTTCTTTCTTCCTATTATAAGCCACCATTTTTGTTTTATTATATGTTTCACAACCCCTAATGCCCCACTGAAAATTACCTTGTTAAATGACAGTGTTTCAAAGCCATGAATCCTTTCCACCATTCCCTCAGAGGTTTGAAACAGTCAACAGACTGTAAAGAATAAATAATAAAAAAGTATTGATTATTTTGATGACTGTGAGATTCAATTAAGTATTAATTTTGCCCTCCAGTGGACCTATCAAGGTATTCAAAAGGGAGGATTCAGCTCGGCTAAATGCGTGCAGAGTGCTTCAGCCTTAAATAGGGAGAAAATGTGTTTACCTACAGTATTTGAAGAAGTGCATTGATGCACAGAGTCCAATATTTAAGTGCTGTGCAAATTAAGCTCTGGTGACAGTGACATTGTTTTCAGTGGTATGAGTATTGACTAAAGAAGTGCATTTGATGACAGCTTAAACTATTTGTATTGATTAACATTTTCATAGATTATCATGTGTCATATCAAATTCACTTTTCAGGCATGAATACATTAAAAAAATAATAACCACGGGCGTGCCGCAACCAATGTAATGATGGGACGAGAGAGCATACGGCCCCACCTGCCCCTGCGCTGGTCACCTGTTTCCTGCTCAGGAACCACTTAGGCATGAACTTGGCAATAAATAGCTCGCAGATAACGCAAAAAGGGCACTTCTTGCTTTTCTTTCCTTCTGCATCTGATATTTGTGCCAAAACAATATTGTGCATCTGGGTTTGCAAATGGAATAAAAGGCTACACTTGGAAAATATTTCTGATCCTAAAATGCACTCCTAATGAGCTGAAGATAAAGCACATTTAAATTATTGGGGCCAAAAGTTTGCCCTGTTTTGGAGATATTTGTTTTCTTTTCCTTTAATGCTCTGGGTGTAAGATGCTCTAGGTTTCCGAATTATTGAACACAGTTTGTAAGTATTTTTCCAATTCCTTTAAAAATGTTAAAACTAATTTTCATCTGCTTTGTCGTGTATTGTTTGCTTTGAAATGTTCATTTGATTGGAGGTTAGTTTCAGCCCAAATCTGGGACCGCTGGAGTCAACTTCTAAGGGTGCTTATGAAATTTACATAAGAAATCGCTTTTATTCCAGTGACAGCATTTTGCGGACTCTTTTCTCCCTATCTCTTTTCTCTGCTCTGGGGATAGGGTTTAATTGCTTGTCCCCCAGGGAGAGGGCTTCTTAAAATAGCCCGCGGTTCCTCCATAGGGTGCGCCTTCCTTTACAGTGTGTTGCTGAAGTACAAACCCAGCACTTTCTTTTTTCTTCCTGCATTAAAGACAGAACAAGGTGTAAAAACACTTGCACAAAAGCACATCCCACAATTAAAGCTGTGTTGGTTAGGTTGCTTTCAAAGAAGTTTTTTGTTTGTTTGTTTTCCCTTCCGAAGCCTCCTGAATCTCTCACATGCTAGTTGAGCTTTAATAGGGTGGGGAGTAATGGAGAACTCCTCGGATCTGTAATAGCTCTTCACTTGACTGCAGCCAGCAATAACAGCGGGAGCAGCCAGAGATAAGAGAGAGGAGAGAGGGAGAGTGTGCGTGTGGAAGAGAGAGAAGGGAAGGGAGAGGGAGAGAGGGCACGCACACTAAAGCTGCCACTTTTTTCCTCCCTTCACTCTTCCCCTATCCTAGGATCCAATGATAGCTGGACAAGTCAGTAAGCCCTTGCTGTCAGTGCGGAGTGAAATGAATGCAGAGTTGAGAGGTGAGGACAAGGCTGCTACTTCAGACAGCGAGCTGAATGAGCCCCGGCTTGCGCCCGTGGAATCAAATGACAGCGAGGACACTCCCAGCAAGCTCTTCGGTAAGTCTGCCTAGGTGTTTCATTTCAGTCTTACCATGTTGTCCGGAACAGCAATCCACACACCCACCCCCTCTTTTTTTCCCCTGGTCTTCATTCAATTTTCTCGTGAGTACTAAAAAGAGGAGCTTCTGCTCTTGGAGGGGCCAAGCCACTGAAGCCCATTCCAGCTGGCTTAGGAGGATGTCCTCCAAACTTTTCCCAACAAGGAACTTCCTCGCTGCCCATCTTGACTTGTCATATATTGCTAGTTCCCAGGCTAGAAATTATTTGGAAATAGAAGATGGTAATAATAATCAGGAAATCAGTTTCGTTGTGAGAATTGGTTAACGTTTATTGAATAAATATTGACTCGGTTTCGGATTGCTTTGCTGCCTTTTGTTAAGGGGAACGAGAATAAAGTGTTATTATCTGTAGTCAAAAGACAGGAGAGGGGAACTGAAAAATATCAATACAAGTCATTCCACGCCAAGTAAACAAAGGTGGCTGCGGGAATTGTGCGAAGAAATACCATTTTGTAATCACAATTAGAATGAATATTTCTCTCTTCTTTTAAAACGGTGATGAGGAAAGAAAACAGGTCCTTGACATCCCCGCCTGACCCTCTCCCCTTTGACAGATGCTTGCAGCCTCACCCTAAGTGCAGAGGCAGCTCAGCACCTTTTAGGAACCTTTGTTTCGTAAACAAAACAAGAACAAGCAGAGTGCCACTCCAGCAAAGACATCTGTCATTCAAACAGATGACACTCTGTAAGCCAACTCAAGCAACTGTGATCTCTAATCAGAAAGGGAGCGGGCTGTTGAGGCGTGTGACTGAGTGATGGATGGTGACAGATGTCTCTGCTGGAGAGGCACTTTATGGGCTAGAGTGACATTCGACTTTCAGAACAGTTGCTCCTGAAACACTTGCTTTTAATTATTTTCCAGTGTTTATATACTTGTATTACTAAATATCTATCTCTATCTATAATACCTACTACCTGTTTATACACATATGCTAACCTGATATATATGTGATTTTATATATACAAAAAATTTATATATATGATTATATATAGTTTATATGTATATGTATGATTATATCAGGAAGAGAACTGCTTGGTCTCACATTAAAAACAGTTGTGAGCCTGAACCTGAAAAAAAAGAAAGAAAGAAAAATCAGTGTATAGACTGCTTTGTTAAGAAAGTCATTAATTCAGTTAAAAATTCAGCTTTTTTTTTTTTTTAACCTGTAGAAAGAAAGCAGCTTTGACAGTTCAGCAACTCTAGGCCAGGTTCCACAGAGGAGCTTTTCTCTGATTTTAAATGCTCAATCAAACATTAGAGGGGTGTTGCAGAGAAACTTTCTGTTTCAATTTTTCTATTGGTAAAATACCGTTTTATAGTTAAGAGTATAATAGATTCTAGTTTTAAGAAATTCTATCATATTACCCATTTTTTTCAGAAAGCAGCAATTCCACCTCTGACATAAATTTTCCATACCTAAGCACTAAGGCTTTATTTAGCATTTTCACTTTAAAGAAATATTTTGTTGTAGTCTAAGTTTTTATCTGTGTAGGAAGAGTTATGTCCAAAACACTCATTTCATTTCAGGGGGGTAGTGAGAGAGGTCAGATACAATTATAAATTATAGGAAGGCAAAAGCTATGCTCCAGCCTCTCTGCTGTTGAGTATACTAATACTAAGCACATAGACTTTTCAAAAGTGATCAATTGTATATTCAACGTAACTTCAGGTAATGAATTATTTGTTCCTAAACTTTCCATGCATTTCTAAAAAGTAAATGCATTTTGAAGGCTTTGATTTACAGCCCCAACGTGGTTTGGTTTTGTTGGTTTTTTTTTATTTTTTCCCTCATTGGTTTCAATGGAGGGGTAATTAATTTTGCTCTTCAACATTTTTTGAGATTTTCCACCACTGAAAATTGTTATATGTTTCTTATGTCACTTTTTATTGATTTGCCTGTGTAGAGAAATAGCTTTTTAAAAAATCTAAGAGGGTCAAAGAAATTTGAATTGAAACTTCAATGAAAATATATCTCAAGTGGAATCTTTATGGTTAAACTAGGAAGTATGGTTTAGAAATCACAGTAGATTTTAGAAGGCACTCATCTTACTTTGGAATTCTCAACTTCTGAATTTGTGACAGAGAACCCAGCACAATCTACATCTTATACCTATTATTCTTATGTATTCACCTAATTTTATTTGGTCTGTGGTGTGCTTTTAAAACACAGTGTCAATATTTTTCAGTTTCTCATTAGGTAATGATGAAATCAGTAGATGGACAGTTTTGAAAACTTGAGAAAAAAACTGGAGACAATCTGAGACAGCAAGAATAGAATGCATGCTGGACTGAAAGCATCCCCACGTCCTATAAGGTTTCCTTAGCGACTGGGCCTATTGTGCTCTCCCTTTTTAATATCACTGGGACTTAGTTTAGGAATTCTAGTTTATGCAACTGACTAAAACTTTTTAAAATAATTCTCGCCCAGAATTTTTAGCAACTGCGGTAACACTTAATGGGTGATAATTTAATGGACCATTATTTTATTTGACATGAATATGTTCAAGATTTTTTTATTATTTATGTAGTGTTGATTATACTCTTTACTTGATAATGAAGAATTACATTCTTCCTGAATAACTGAGCGCATCCAGGTTTATCTCTAAACAATGATTTTCTAACATACTCTCTTAAACCATCCTTCCTAAAATATATGCACTGAATTACTGAAAACTGTGCTTCTATAATGAAAGAAGCAGATTAAGACAAACCATGTGCATCTTGATATGTTTACTTTTGTGGAGGGACATTAAGCAACACCAGGAGGTAGGAAGAGCTCACTGTTCTATTGTACCTGAAATTTCAGTGTATATGGACTTCTTCAGATCTTGTTCCTTCTTCGGTGTCTTGTGCAGATTAGCAGTCCAGAGGACAAGTCTGTTTCTCTCACAGTATGGCACCTTCAGCACAGAATTGCAGGAGCAAAGCTAATACTGATGCCCTCTATGGATAAACAAAAGGAATTCCAGGAAGCATTGGGTCTTTCATGCCTCCTCTTAAATTGCACCTCTGCACTTATCCGCCTCCAAGGGAAACATAGTGCGCGGAACATTTCAGTGCTCTGAGCAGCTCAGAATGCCAGAAGGAGAAACCAGAAGCCATATGCCAGCCTAAGTAGAAAGTTCAGGAAAGCGCCCTTGTGTTTTACAGAGTAATTACATCAGAGGTAATGTTTTGCTTAACTTGAACAGCCATGGAAACTAAAGTACACTTAGGAGAGATGAATCCACATTTCATTGAGAAACATGTGGTTAGGTAGCTCTCTGTGATATCATTAAGTGGTGCATTATTTACTCTTGTAAAGCTTGTGGAATAACTCTTTTCTTTTTCACTTCCTGGCTGTATTATGGTAAGCTCCGAGCCTTAGGAAACAGTTTGGAGGAGAACAGACTTGCGTGTCAGGGGATCTTATCAGAGAACCTGGATCTGTGTTTCACTGGGTTTTAGCTGTGGGATCAAATGTGTGGTGCCACACAAGGTCCCATTTAATATGTGACTAGTGATGTACATATATGAAACCATTTTCAAACGTGGACTTAGGCAAATAGTCTCAAAGGAAGATGTTGCTGTGTTTCTCCACTGACATTTAGAGCTCTTGTGTCAACGTGGTGCTTTATTTTTAGTTATATCCATCAAGAATTCAGTGTTCCACGCTCAGTCAAGGTAGATGCTAAAATTCAAATGGTAGCATCAACAACCTGGTCAGGAAAATGGCCACAGAAAGGATAAAAGTAATATATATCCCTAGAAATATATCTGTACTAAAGTTTGCCCATGCAGTCTCAGCCAAAGAAGTGAGACCACATAAAACATGCCCAATATATTTTCTCCCATATATATTTGAAACTTGAAAGATGATTTATTAACAGTTTTCCTCCTAGGAATATTTTTATTGTTTCAAGTTAAACCTCATGATTGCTTTCCTTAAAGCCCCGAGTGCTGTGGGTAGCTGGGTTAGTCTCTGTCTTGCTTCTCAGTTGTGCCACGCTGTTTGTGAACTGTGGCACACAGCTCTAAAGCCTGAGCTGAGATGTAAACAAAACACCACTTATAAACATTGCACCTGAAATAAAAACTGGTGGTTGGTTTTCTCTTATGATATTGTGTTTTTCTAGGTTAAAAGAAATTGCATGCAATGATACTTGTAAGAGTGGGTATTTTCAATGTCATTTATCTGTGAACTATTGGAAAAGGGTTGAAAGTTGGGTCAGTGATTCTTCCTTGCTAGAAAATGTACTATCTGCAGGGCTGTTCTTTTCCTTTCCTTTCTGTTATCTTTCTCATAGAAACATGCATTATAAGATTTTTTTTTTAAATTGCCACCCAGTTTGACTTGATTAGAATTTATGGCAGTGGAGTCGTTTTCAATGACAAAAGGATAAAGGACTAAATTGTCTTTCACCCCTTGAGACAGTGGTCTCTGCAGGTCAGAGTGGAGATCATTGGTAGGGCATTATGGGGACTGCACTTTATGGGGATGCTGCCTCTCGCCTGTGCATAAGTGTACCCTTCATTATGGCATCACCGTCTTTATTACTATATGTAAACGCCTCTCTCAAGGTTTTAATGCTGTGGATATTTATAATATTCTGATAAAATATGCTGGGGCCTGCAATCAGGACATAGGGCTTAAGCCCAAGAGGGACTTAGCTGGGAGATGATGAGGAAAATTCCCTAGAGAAATATATTTATTTAAAATATACATCACGCTTTCATATTTTTAAAAGTTTCAATATTATACCAATTAAAAATTCTATTTTTCACTGAAGCAATGTGTTTTGCTAGGTAAATATTAAAACAGGATATCTTTTGATCAACTAAATAATTTATCAATAGATTCTATGTAAAAACAGTTACTCCAAAGAAACCAGTAGAAACCTGTATTTGTGTAAGTAAATGGGACGCATGATAAGGTATTTGTTAAAAGTCAATTATAG